GTAGAGTTCAATTATAGTGCCAATATTTGAAGTAGTATAATAGTAGTAATTGTAATAGTAGTACTAGTAGTGGTAGTAGTGGCGGTTGTGGTGGGGGTGGTAGTGGTGGTGATCAGCTGTTACCACCACCAATGCAGCAATCAAGATGAATTGTCAGTCCATCTTCATTTATTAGCACCATGTGTCATGTAACATCAATTGCATTAACTGAACACAGACATCTTCATACACGCAAACACACACACACACGCACGCACACGCACGCTCACTTACATACATACATACATACATACATACATGCATACATACATACATACATACATGCATACATACATACATACATACATACATACATACATACATACATACATACATACATACATACATACATACATACATACACAAACCCAAACAACATTAACAAAAAACAACAGCAGCAACGGCAGTAGCGACAGTAACTACACCACCAACAACAGATTCCTAACCTGTTTTTTCTTTAATTTCGCAGAGAACTTGGAAGAGGGCAGGTTTCATCCGATGACAGTTTAGCGTATGTTTTCTGGGGGGGTTGTTTCATGTGAAAATAATTTTTAGTATAAGTATAAATGTTTGATGAAGTTCTTAAGATTTTGAGTACACACACACATACACACGCAAACACACATACACACATGCAAACACACATACATACACACACGCAAACACACATACACACGCATACACATACATACGCACGCACACACACGTATGCACATATATGCACACACATTCATTGATTTACTCATACAAGGACATTCAAAAATTCCCAAACGCGCACACACTCTTTACTAGACCAACACACACGCGCACACTTAACATAGATGCAAACACATACACACACACGCATACACACACATACACACATATACATACACAAACACACATAAACACGCATATACACATGCACACAACATACACAAACACACACAGAAACATACAAACACACACAAATATAAACGTACAGAAAGAAACAGGCATAATAACATCCTAGACGCACAAGTCTTCGTTGAAAAGAAGAAAAACAACAGGACAAACAGCAACAACAACAAAAAAAAAACAACAACAACAACTTGAGCCAGAAAAACTTGACTGTGCATCTGCATGACTAATTGTTGACGAATGATTTATACAAGGGAAGTGATGTTTTTTCTACACCTGCCATGCTAATCACAATGAGAGAAGACGCCAAATTTATGAACATTTTTGTTCGGATTTCCATAAATTGGTCGATAGAAATCAATAAGTTGGTATTGCTGAAGCATATCTGTTTGTTTGCCTGCCTGCGTATGTGTGTGTATCTGTGGCTCTATATGTGTTTATGCCACTGTATGTATGCATGTATGTGTGTATATATGTGTGGATGATGCATGTGTGCGTGTGTGTTTACGTATTTATGTCCGGGTTTTTTGATAGCGAAGTGTCAGGTGAAAACGACGTAAGTATTTGTTTGCAAATATCTCCATGTCTATTCGTAGTTTATTATTCGGCCATTGAACAGGTTTAAACGTGAATGAAAAAATACTCGAACATAGTAATAAATAACATCAGTTTATTCATAATAAAACACTAGATAGATACAATAAATGAAAATATAAACATACACATATTTATAATATAAACGTGTAGGTGTGTATATTTCAAAACCAACCCATGCAAGCAAACAGACAAACCGGCGAATTTACACGGTAATACGTCATGGAATGCGTGCACGGACAGGATCTCGCAAATCCAACGCAAAGCAGAACGTACGACGGACAAACATCACTTCACGTCTTGCGCGCAAAGCATCCATCAGCCTATAAATTATTCTTTATTGTTTTCTAGATGTTTTTACATTTTTTTTCAATTTTTTTCAAAAATTTTTATTAAATTTTTGGATATTTTTAATCCATTATTTATCGTCATTGAACAAAACCGAGAAAATAAAAAAAAGTTGATGAATTGTAAAAAAAAACAATCTAAGAATCAGTGAATTGATGCATTGATGCATGCATGCGTGCATTTTTTATTGTATTTATTTTTGAATTAAAAAAAAAAATTTTAATCGATCGTGTTGTTTGTTGAAGCGTACCAGATGAAAAGTAACATTTAATTGTTCCCAAATCATGAACAACACAAACAACTAACCAACCAACAAGCTATTCAATCAATTAATCAACCAGTCAACCAACCATGCGACCAACTATGCAACCAACCAACTAACCACGCTCTATTGAAGTTGAAAGTTTAAAAGTGAAAGCCAAAAATAATTCCATTTTCTTTGATTTTTAAATTTTTAACTCATCTCAAAATTAGTGTTAGTAAAAAGTTATCTAAACTAACACTTTTAATTCAGTTTATCCATCATTGTTCTTTAACAAAAAGTTGATTGATTGATTGAATAATAATTCAACTGATTGATTGAGTAATAATTTAAATGATTGATTGATTGAATAATAATTCAACTGATTGATTGATTAACTAAAGATGGAATTGATTGATTGATCATTTAGAAGTGATTGATCGATTGAGTGACAATTTGATGGATACGTACATTCGTCGATATTTAAACGAATGAAAAGGCTGCCACGCAAGCAGCGGGTCGATCATAACACAGAAGAGAACGAAATATTGTAGCCTTTCAATAAACGGTTATTTATTGCATCTCTTGTGAGCCTGGCTCAGGGTTGCATGTAGTTGCAGCAATATTTAATTTGTTTTCGCATCTGCATCAATGCTAGCCCTAGCAGAGACAAACACAAACACACACACATACACATTCTCACACTCACACACACAAATGCACACACACAAACTCCCTTTCATACACACTCACACACATATACACATTCAATCATTCACACGTTTGTACGTGCAATTAAAAAATGGATATGTGTGTATATGCAAACATTTTGTACGCTGGTGTTTCTGCCTAGTCTGTAGACCGTTGCAAGGTCTCGTTATGTGTAAAACAATGTACGTAAATACATGTGTGTTTATTTTTTGTAAAAACATTCATAGACTAGTACGATGATGGTACATGAATATTTAAATACTTTTTCTGGGTGTGTGTCTTTGTACATGTGTAGTGTGTGTGTGTGTGTGTGTTAATGTGTACGTGTGTATTTTTACATGTGTGTATGTGAGTTTGGAATATTAATAATTTTAAAAAACAATAAAAATTATATAGATAATTCGCGGAAATATAAATGGTGTTTTGTGTTAAAACACCCACGTAGTGTTTGTCACGGGCAAACAAAGCATCTATTTAATATGGATGAAATTTTTTTTATAAATCTTTATACATACGCTTATTTGAAAATTACCATACAATAACCCGCATATATTATGTATCAATGTATCATTTCAATCATTCTGTCATTTACCTGTCAATGTATTATATGTATGATACACCATGAATATCTCATATATAGCATATACCATAAGTACTTTGTACCATCTCATCCATATGTATCATATATCACGTATATCACACACTCGATGACATATGCATCATCTAATACAAATGCATATGATAGATTTACATCATCATCGTCATCATCATCATCATCACCACCACCACCGTCATCATCATCAGCACCATCATCAAATCCGGTTTAAGCTTAATCGCATAATCCTCTACATCTTCGTTGTCGACATTATATCGTCATCACTACCATTTCTGCATATTCATCATCGTCATCATCATCGTCGTCATCATCATTTTCACCATCACCGTCATCATCATCGTCATCTTTGTTGTTGATATTAGTTATATCTTGTCGTCATCTTCGCCATCACCAACATCACCCACCAAAGAAATAATTTTGCAAAAAAAAATATATTTATAAAACCATTTGAAAACATGTTGGAATTATTTATTAACATGATAAAACAAGCGATGTCTGTCATAGAAAAATTTTGAAATTCATTAAATAATGTGGCAATATAAATGTCATTGGAAAAATTTTTGGTATAAAAATTAAAAGTAAAATATGTGAAAGTTTCAAATAAAACCCAAAAAATGAGATTTGGCGGAAACATATTCCTTCATGTAATTAATTTGATCGTTTATTGCATTTGTCATCATCATATCATCAGTCATCTTCATTATCACCGCCAACCACCATTACTTCATATCACCCCAACATCACACGTACAAACGCGGAAATTTTGGAAATTTTACGGGTTGAACTGCCAAATTTTTGCCGGTGGGGCCGAACCTGGCTACCTCGTGGCTACTATTTTTCGCTAATTTTTTTTTTAATTTTTCACTTGAAAACTGTGTTTCATCTCATATTTATAACATCACATCATTACCACACCGTATTATCACATTATCGCAACAGTACATCATTACACCAACAACAACACATCGGAACATCATTACAACGACATGACAACACCAACACACACCGTGACATCCTGACAACAACATCACAACAACATCACCATCCTACCTCGTTTGAGCTTCATCAAGGCTCTGATCAGTAATGGTCATGATTTGTTGCAGGATATCTCCGATGTTGTGAGGACGATGTATGGATAGATCCATGTCTCCAGGAATTATTCCGCTCCCACTTCCGCTCCCACCAACGAGGTTGTTACTACCCCCGCTGCCACCCACCACACCACCCACGTTTGGAGACATCCCGTACGGCACGCCAGCCACCGACATGTGGTTCATGCGATTTGCCATGGCGAGGCTGTTTGGTTGGTGGTGGTGGTGGCTGGAATAGCCGCGTCCGTCGTCCATCATTTTGTTGGTTGGGTGGATGGATGGATAGATGGATAGATGGATGGATGGATGGATGGATGGATGGATGGATGGATGGATGGATAGAAGATAGAGGGATGGCTAGATAAATGGGATAGATAGATTTTGAAATTAAATGATTGATTGAAAGATAGATGTTCAAAGACGTTTAAATAGTTATTTGATTTATAATTCTGAATTAATTAATTAATGGAATATAACTGATTGTATTGAAAAAAGCTGATAGACGAGAAATTTAATAACGAGTAACAAAGTTAAATAGACGCATAAACGAAACGAAATTTTAGATAAAGATTGGAAGAACAAAAGAGTGGATGGATTGAAGAATGGAGAGAGTGATAGGTGGTTGGATTGACAGTATCAATCTGATGAGTGAATGGAATGAACGATGGCTGCGTGTGTGAGATGAATGAATAAAATGCTGGCTGATTTATTGGAAGCAAAACAGTATTAGAGATTGGACGGTGGTGACCGTGGTTGTGGTTTTGGGTGGTATAAATTTTCTTTTTAAATTTTCCTGTTCAGTTGTGTGTCGAAAATTGTTTTTATTATATTTATTATTATTATACTTATTATTATTATTATTATTATTTAAACTTGAAAATGTTATAAATTCTATTGTTGTTGAATCTAGTCAATGTTTTTCATTGCTATTAATGTTGGTAATGTTATTTTTAACGTTGATGTCGTTTTGTGCAATTGCTGTTGTTGTCGGCGTTGTTGTTGTTGTAGTAGTTGTTGTTGTTTTTCACCCGTCTGTTGTTCCATTGTTATACATAGATGGTTTTCTGGTCCTGGCTATGTTAACGCTTCTCCGTTTATTTACTGTTAATGTAGTTTTACTGTTGATGTAATAATGTTGCCGATTGATTTGTTTTATTTGATTTTCAATGATTCTATTTTTCAAGTGAATAAAACATACATAGTTGAGAATTAATTTACGATTCAATACAACTCCCTGACTGACTTCAATTTTACGCTAATGTAATGAATAGCAGCGGTGAAACAACATTTAAGAGAAACGAAACTTTATTATCAGTAGAAGCAATATGTTATCATTAGCATCTGAAGCTGGCGCACCAACGTAAGTTGAGGTGTTGATGGGAAGTGTCCGATAAATGATTTGAAAATAGTGCACCCCAGCAATGTGTGGAGAATTTAAATTGCTTATTTGCTTGACAATCAATCACCTTCTTAACTGCAAATCAATCAAGAGGTTGTTGTTGTTGATGTTGTTGTTGTTGATGTTGTTGATGTTGATGTTGTTATTGTTAATGTTGTTGTTGTTGATGTTGTTGTTGTTGCTGATGTTGTTGTTGTTGTTGATGATGTTGTTGTTGTTGATGTTGTTGTTGTTGATGCTGCTGATTTGTTTTTGAATTGATTGGCACGCCGACAATATTTGATATAGTTTTTTAATGTTGTTACTTCTATGTTGTTGACGTCATCAAAAACATGACCGCAGTTTATTAACCATTATATATCCAATGAGTCATTTTGCAAGAAGAATAAATAAAATTGCCAAAACTACGAAACTCAATCAAATTTATAAACAAAACATTGTCAGATAAAATTAATCAATACTTATACATGTAAATACATAAGTAATTAATCAATTAATAATTAATTAACTAACTAATTAATACTGTGTGTGTCGCCGTGATGCAAGCAGTAGAAATTAAACGGTTTTATTGCAATAAAAAGGTCTTTAAAGAACTCTAAACTGACCACTTTTCACGCACTGACCAATGTTTTGCATACAAGTGCTTTGGTGTATAATGTATATCAAACTATGTCCATACAGATATATGCTTTTACGTATGAATAAATGAACGAATTAATGAATGAATGAATGTATAAATGAATGAACGAATAAATGAATGAATGATGAATGAATGAATGAATCAATAAGATGTAAACAAATTTTTTAAGAAATAAATGAATGAGATATAGAGTGAATGATTGAATGGAGGATGAATAATTGATGGATTCAAAAACAATCGAATGATTGAAAGACTGAAATAGAAAATGAATGATAAAACAAAGGAATGATAGAGTGAAGGATTGAATGAATGAATGATTCAAAAACAGATGAAAGAATAAAAGAATGAAATAAGTACAATTTATGTTTGGGCGTTTGTATAGAAGAAGCGGTATATAAAGCATGAGCGTCCTCTCTCCACCACTGTCCATATCTCTTTTTTTGTTTTTATATTAATATATAAATATAAAAACATATAATATATATATATATATTAACTATATATTATATATATATATTATTATATCTATACACATACACCTTTACATAATACATGTAACAAAATTATATATACACTTGTCCTATACGCAATGTTAAATACCTGTATCAAATAAACATCCTATTTTTAAAAAAATATACATATATGCATCAATAAAATGTTATATTCATTATATTCATATATATATATATATATATACATATATATATATATATATATTATTGATGAAATAATATATATATATATATATATATATACATAAACGCACATAAGCACTTATGCATACATATAACATACAACAACATACAATGAAGATGTTATACAAGTTCATAGCTCCAGTTTAAAATTGGAAAAAAATTAGTTAAACACGCTAAATTAATTTTTTTTCGATTAAAAATTTCAGAAAAAAATATTTATACAAAATAGCGTGAAAAAAATATACATGTATGTAGAAGATGTTTAAGGAGCCGGTATAAAGTGTGTATGTTTGTATACGTACATCGTGTGGCGTGTATGTGCGTGTAAGTAATGTTGGTGTGGATATTCATTTCTACACTATCACGACACGAATGTTTTAATGGGACTAAAAAAGAAAAGAGGTATTATACAAAATCGGTAAGCGGGCACATACATAATTTAAAACATACAAACGCTTACATACAAATACACTCACACACACATACATACATGCACACACAGATATAAATGTTAAATGTAATTTTTTAATTCTTGTTAATATTCGCATCAATAAATGCGTAGAAGGAATGTTCGTTACGTACTTATCCTGCATATAAAACTCTTTCCATGTTAGATGCATCGCATTTTTTCAATCTTTACGACTTTGTCCATCTTTCTATCCATTAGTTCATATTTTCATTTTTTCATTCATTCATCCATCCATCCATGCATTCATTCATTATTTATCCATTCATTCATTATTCATCCATTCACTTTTTTATCCTCGTTCGTTCGTTCGTTCATAACCTTAATCGATTTTTCTTCATGCATTCAATAATTCATTCATTCGTTTATCCATTCATTCATTCGTGTTCACATCCACACGTCAAATCGTGCAGTCATTCGTCCATTTACTAAATCATTCTTTCATCCATCCATCCATTCATTCATTCATTCAATCATTCATTTGTTTGGGTAGGGAAGATAAAAATGATAATTGAAAAAAAATTAATAAGATGAAATAAAAACAAACAAAAAGACGCAATTAAAAAATATAGACTGACGAACGAAACACAAACTGAAACGCAAAAAACGCGAAAATACGTAAAGCGACAAAGAGTTAAAATATAAGCGCTAAAGAAATAGAGAAAGAAAAAAATGTTTATTTATATGTCTTGCACATCCCAAGAATATCACTCACATCCAGTGAGAGCATATATTTTGAAAACATCTGCAGCACACCAATGAAATAAAATAAGTTGTTCGGTTGGTTGGTTGGCTAGTTGACTGACTGATTGATTCGTTGGTTGGTTGGCAGATTGGTTGTTTGTTTGTTGGTTGATTGGCTGATTGATTGTTGGTGGGTGGATGTGTTGTGAGTTGGTTGGTCGTCGGATGGCTGGCTGGCTGGCTGATTGATCAGTCTGGCTGGTCTAGTTGGTAACTTTCAAAATAGAACTCTATCTCCAGTTTAATTTATTTTACTTACGTGAAGAAATAATGCGAAAAGAAATTTATTTTGGACGGTTATGTTATGCCGATCCGTTATTATTTCGACATTAGGCTCTATTCGCTATATTGGGAAAAATATGTCTATGTGTATATATATATATATATATATATATATATTATATATATATACATGTGTATATATATATATTATATATATATATACATGTGTGTGTTTGTGTGTGTGTGTAGGTATGCATGTGTCTGTCTGTACGTGTATCTGTGTTTATATACGACTCTTTGGTATCTTCGAATAGGAATATTCGCATAAAAACTGTTCATCTCTGACAATGTTACCCGCCAAAATTATGTATCGTTATATGAGAAAAATATTTTGCGTATCTGAACATGAGGCATCGAGAAGGCAATACAAATACCTGCGTTTCATCACATCCGCTCGCGTAATAAATATCTGAAAAATTAATACGTACGTGCATACGCCATGCACATGCATAGCATGTGTCCATACAAACTTCACACAAAGTATGTACAAACAGATACGTACCCATACATACAAACAAACATACACGCGCAAATCGATACGCACACACTTGTATACATCTTGTGCATATCAATAACCCCATAAGCACACATACACACACGTACGTACACGCACATAGTTACATATCCATTCATACATGTACGTACGTAAACACACGTACGTACATAGAATCTTTTTGTACGTTTGCAAGTCGAACGTCCATGCAATTTCCCTGATATATAGCCTCCCAGTGTGCAACGTTCGCACGCACATGTGCACGACTCAATATAAATTTCCTAATGAATGTTTGTGTGTCTTTGTGCGTGTCTGTATGTGTGTCTGTGTGCGTGTGAATGAGCCTATAGAAAAAACGGAAAAAATAGAATTATGCAATACTGAATAAATATTGGATTTTTTTTTTATAATTTGAACTTTTTGGACAATAAACTTTTGTCTTTATCACAATCACATACAGTCTAAAAACAAATAAATAGATGAATATATAAAAAAAATTAAAATATAATTTATAGACAATGTTTAAATAACAGGTATGTGCAATTGGCATTGTGGAGGGAAAGAGACACGTAGGCACGGTGACGCGGAAGCTCCACTCACTATTTCTTAAAAGAGGAATATCATTCAGGATGAAATTACATCCACTAATCTATTTATGCAAAATACGTCGGAGAAAAACAAATAAAGAAAAAAAGACCTGATGCCGGCAAAAATATGAACAAGAAATAGATATACAAAACGCATAAAATACAAAAAAAAACAAACAACCCATACATCACATACAAAAAAGAAAACAAAGAGGCAGTTTGTTGTACAGCGGGCAGGCGTACATCACGAAGCATTGCCAACTTATGTACACCACGTACAACGTACACCCACTAATACCATCAGCATAATGCTCCACCAACAAGAAGTCGTCTGGAATTTCCAAGTTATTTATAGTTTGTATGTGACATGTTTTAATTATAAGAACTTGCATGCGCGTGTGTATACGACAAACACATGCATTCAAACCATACATGGATAAAATTATATTATACACACTCTACAAGAGTCCTCCGTATACTTCTTACAGTGCATTTACTAATCAGAACGTTCCTAACCTGGCATGTTGGGAGGAAATTGATGGGATTGAAAAACTCTCTCGCACCTCTCAAGTCGAAAGTGAATCACAAACATATAACGAATGAAGAAAACCTCACCTCTTGGCAAATAGCTTAAACGATGAACGATATGTTTCAAGCGAATCCCCTTAAAACTATCGCACTGCGTATTACGATTTATGCGCAAAAAGACATCACTGATTAAAAAACGTACGCAATCAACACGCGATATAATTAATTACAATTTTGCGTCATACATTCGGAGTTGACAAAGCGCCAAATAGAATACCTGACGAACGTTGATAAACTATTTTTCACGACGACAATCACAACGAACAACACGTTTAGACGACATTTTCCCCGAGATCGGGGGTTGCCGTTTGGCTACCTATGATGAAACCGAAATACCCCTCGACGCCATTCCATCATAAGTAATTTATTTGGCTAATTTTTACGCAGGACGCCCTTCCTTACGCAACCACAGTTATAAGCGGTGGGCCTAGCCTTTGATGATCCAACATCACTCACAAGGCAGTGAGGGTCAGTTTAATGTCATAACCAGGACATGACGACAATCACAACGAAACAAATATTTAATGTTCGAAAAATACTTCTGATATTTAACAAACATCCAAATCCGCATGAAACGAGTAAATATGATAGTAGCGTTCACAAACTGCGTGTTTGCATATACATTAGGATCTCAACAAATTGAATGTTGTTATAAATCCATGTCTCCAGTTGAAACTTTGTTCCTTGATTCAGCAAAGGATTTGGCGATGGTCCTCTTCATTTCGTCGTCACCCTCATCATACAACTTCTTCATCAGATCCATCAAGCTCTCATTCGGATCTTTCTTATCATCAAACTTTGGAGTTCTGTTTAAATTCGAAATTGATACATTACTTGTAGGTATCTAATAAGAGCATGACAAGAAGAAACTATCAAACAGTCATTTGAAATTAAAAGATGCGTACAAATCGTCTTCAACAAAATTTGGCTAAACAGAAATTTTAGAAATTATACCGATTATAAAATATGTCTAAAAACAACCCAGTCACATTTAAACCTAACATAAACTAAATTCTGAAGATTTTATAGCGTTTCTAAATCATTCCAGAGCCAACACAAAACCTGAAGCAATGAGATTATAAAAAAAAGGAATTATACTTCATCTTATCTTCTTTCTGAACAACGTAAGCCCATGTTTTGTGTGTCTTCTCCTTTTTCAACATCAACAGAACTGTGTCTGTCTTCATCTGATACAGATTTAAAAACAATCTAACAACGTGATTGATGACATAGTCCGAATTTGAAATCTTCAACACCGGATAAATTTCATCCCAACTTAATATAAGATCTAAAAAATTAGCATTGATCATTTTAAGGAAGTCAAAAGTACCTTGAAGAAGCATTCGCTTGGTGTTATGCTCTCAAACAGATGACCAACATGACACTTGTAGTTTTTTCCATCCAAGTTTTCCACTTTTAAAATAAATGATCTGAAAAGTTTAAATTACACAGGCTCTAATTTAATTTTCAATTAAGTTTAGTTTTTAAATTTAACACTAAATAAACGGAGAAAAATATTTTTACAACAAACCAACAACAAAAAAATTATTTTCATTTAAGTAATTTTAAAAACTCAAAATTTAAAAAAACGTATTTATTTGGAATGATCTATTTATCTCATATTACCCAATGTTGACCATAAAATTAAAAACTCCCCTTCAAAAAAATTAAAAACCTATAATGCATTCAAATAACCCTACGTCCAAAACAGTATTTGGCAATTTTAAAATAATTGAATGTTTTAAAAAAAATTAATAACTTTCACAAAAATTAACAAGTTGAAACCTTGAAGTGTAGTCAGTTGAGATGGACTCTTTTGGTAGTTTGTGAACACCTTGTACTGTTACATATATCTTCATGAACTTATCCGACTGATCCCAAGCTAGCAGTAAACAATAAGTAAATAAAATAAATGAGTAATGAATAAACAAGTCTAGCAATTCTGAAATATCAGTAGAGCCTTATTAGGTATTAGATTAGCGCTCTTGCTAGCTTATTGATACCTATTAATTTATTACTAACTTAACTTTCCACCTATCTATCTCAGCAACTTTAATTGAGAAAAAATATGAAAAAAATTTTTTTTAATTTAGTCAAAAACTAAAACTAGTAACAAATAATTAATAAGTGAAAATATTTAATAATCAGCAACCATAGTTAGAGATGTCGATGTAATATTTCCTCGGGATAGACACGACTTTGGTGATTGGTTCGGCTTGTTGGGGCAGTTCTGGGGAGGTTGTCGACGTAGAGGATGCGGTTGAGCAGGAAGGTAAAGATGAAGAACTCAACTTTGCAATTTCCTGATTTAACAATTGCTTAACCTTGGGTCTGGTTGCTACTTTTAAAAGGTTATTCAAATCATCAATATCCAACTGGGTCTAGTTAGGAAAAAAATTAATAAATTAAAATATCAATTAATAAATTATTATAAAAATTAATTAAACATATATTTAGTTCAGATTAGTTTAAGTTTAATGTTTTGATGATGACATAGAACATGGGTTGTACGTTTTGTTTTATAAATATGAATTATCAATTAATTTTTACTTTATATACTATTCATATTACATTGTAAGGGTGCACAACCTTTTTTTTTTAGTAAAGGGCCAAATTGACAAAAACTTGGAGCATGGAGGTGGGAACAACTAATCGTCCCCGTGGACCATTATAATGAGATGGCTGTCAGCGGTATTTGTTAACTAAACTTTTTATATCTGGCCAATTGTGCTTGTTGGAATTCTCAAAAATGCTTCTAAATATCCATCAGAAAGCTTGCTTCTTAGTTTTGACTTTTTAAAGTTCATTATAGAAAATGTCTGCTCACATAACATGTGTATGTACTTTCATTTATGATGGCAAGTAAATGCATTTTCCTTTAGATGTAAAAAATTTCCTGGCAACCCTTTTTAAACAATTCTAAAACATTCAAATTTTTAAATTGAGATTTATGTGAATCTGATGTCTGTAGATTGATTAATTCCATCTGAAATTTTTCAGAAGCATCATCAACAGGAATGGCAAATGGATCCTCAAAAAGCTTCAAGTAAATAACATTTGTTTCAAAACCTAAAAACTTATTATTAAATCAATTAAATGCATTTTGTAGACTTTTTATTTGCTCAGAATAATATAAAAAAAGCTTTTTATGGTATCTGTCTCTTATTTTATGTAAATATGAGAAATGCACAAAAAACTTTTTAACCATTGTGTCTAAACAACTTTCAATTTAATTAAAAAAATCATGCTGCATGCAACAAAGAGGACCAGTGGGCTGGAGGTTGTGCACTCCTACTATATTGTATACATACATTATATCATACTCATATTGAAACTGATACTGATAAATGATGGTCTAGTCTAACTCTGCTTAAGTCTAATGTCAACAAATGTTCCCAAACCCTGACACTAACCAACCCACAATTAATACAAAATATCATAATAAACTTAAATTTAATTTACTCAATAAGTCTATCTAAATACATAGATACTTTTATTTTTCTAGAATAGTTTAATATGCCTTAATTTTATAAAACTGACAAACATTTAACACTTTTCACCAGTTAACTATTTATTTTTGACTTACAATTTTTAAAATTGAATTTTTCCTCATTTAGCAATAAGCAATTTAAAATGTTTATGTTATTTATATTATAATAAAATAATAAATTTGGCAAATTTTTGAAGAACAACTTTTTTGTTATTTTTATTTATTATGTCATGATGTCTGTCTACTTGTCTTCTTATATAGCTCTCCCAATGAAATAAAAAAAAACTCAACTTGTTAAACGTTCAGAAACAAAGTTTTAGAGAGAAACAAACCTCCGAAACATCCATCTCGACTTCGGACATTTTAAAATTTTTTTTCTTCAAACTACGTAGCCAAAACTAAATGGCAGAATTCACCAAAATTCAATTCTGGAAAGTACTAGAGCGACAAACAGTAACCACAAAGAGTAAGAAACAAAGAACTTTAGCAATTGTAAAATTTAATATGAAGCAGTGGCAACAGTGGCAACGGTGGCAACTACATCTATTTCAAATGTACTGCACTCGAGTGACCAAATAAATGTATAAAGGAACATAAATACATATCAGAAGTTCAGAGCGGATCTCAAGACCGATCTGATTTTAAAATTCACAAAAGAGCGCAGTTGAATATCGAGGAAACAGCGCTTTACAAGCTAATTGATTGATTGATTGATCATATCACATTTTGAACATATCTTAAAAGTTACATAATATATTGATTTCAACAAGTAATCTGAAATGTAATGATGTTGTGAAACATCTGTATGATCTTGCTACTTAACAAGACACAAAAATGAAAGGAGAGTGTTACAATTGAAATTTTTCTTTGATTCTTGATTTTTCATTTTGATTGTTGTACGAAAAAAATTTATAACCAAAAGCCTTTTCCTAAGAACAACGTGATATACTTATTCATAGGATAACACTGAAATATTTCTAGTTCACAACCAACTCGATACTTCCATGAATTACCAACCAAAACCATCTTACATCAACCATTCAAGTGTTTGTCATGTAAACTTTCATTTTAATATGACGGACACTGTGAAACTTATCATTTTGGGTTGTTACGAATATTCCTTTCTCAATTTAGGTTATTTGTTTGATAACAGCTATTACTAAAAAGCCTCGTGTATGAATCATAAAACAACGCTAAGCCAATATTTTGCTTGGTTGTAAGTTAATCCTTTCTCATATAAGGCAAAACAGACCACTGGTAATGTGAGGTGTTTAAAATATTATATATACATAGATGACATCGGTGGCATATAAAAAATGATTTTGATTTTAACTTATAATTTAACAAAAGAGTAGATTACAAATTTGTTTGATTTGAAAATTCATTGATGATCAAAACTGGTTTTTAAGATCTCATCAGAAAGTAAGAAATAAGGAGATACGTACCAATACAAATAAACTCTACTAAGTTACGAATCGATACGAATTTATTACTTTAAGCCTGACTGAAGCATGGTCTATGGATAATACTTTTATATTAAAGCCTTTAAATAATAGAAAAAATATTAAAATAAAACATTATTTGCGATAACAGCAACTGCTTAAACATTTCATTCCATATCCGCCAGCAATCTGCTTCTCGTTGCTGCCAGCTCCATTAAGTGATAATCATCAATCAGATTATATTTCAAAACCAACCATGTTCGTATCAATTGAAATATGTTAAGATAACGTTGAAATATGTAATCACTGATAATGTGGACCTTGTATAACTACTTCTTGATCTGAAACACACTGCTATCACTTTCACAACACAACACTGTCAAGAAAATTTTAAGCCGATGTTTTTATTTATAAATCCATCGAACATATATAGAAGGAACAACTGAGAAAAAAAACACATTTGACAATAAATTTTTTAAAATAGGAAAAAATGTTCACATTTACGAATATTAAAGAAATATACAACTATTCATAAGAAAAATAAATGCGTGTGTATATTTATGCACCTTTGTTTGACCTAACTTATATAATTTTTTAATCGTGTCACAAACGTTTCAATAAGATGAAGCCTAGTGATGTAATAAATTGTACACATGCTCCAGTTCACAGTAAGGAATGGTCCTTCAACGTACATAAGCCTATGTGTTTGTCATAAACGAAAATTAAATAAATAAAAAAGAAAAAATATAAAAAAGCAAAAACTGTTTAAGAAATTATTCTGAGTTTTTTATGTTGAGATTTCCTTTTTTCAAAAAGTTTCTTAAACTTTTTCTTATTTTGTTGTCCCGACTTTCACCGCTATTGATCACTTGAGAGAACGGCACGTTTGCTGAGTTTGTCTCGAAATTTTTGTTTTGTCTCGAATTGAACAAGTGAGGACTTTTGCTGTTGTGTTTGTTGTTGCTACCCAAAGACTTCATGATGTCATCTATCTTAGCATCATTCTCGCAACATTGCAGAGTGTTGTTTTTCAGTTGAAGAGCAGGTGTCAGTGCCATTGGAGTAGCTGGACCGCTGTGGGAATGACGTTTCGATGGTTTAATTGGCAACGCTATGTTGTTGTTCGTATTACTAATTGTGTTGTTGTTATTATTGTTTGTGATGTCTGACCTAAATGTATCTGACTTAACTGCAAACGTCGAGGGATTATTATCGGAAGTTGATCTGAGACGGATGTAGCTATCGCTAAATTGTGCATATTGCATCTTCAACTTCTCTTCTAACGACTGAAAAGTAGGTCTCATATCGGGCTTGTACCTCCAGCACTGATTCATAATGCTGAACATTTGAATGTCACATTCTGCTGGCTTCTCTAATTTTCCTTTTTCGGAAATAAAAACGACAACTTCGCTTTCCGTCAACTGACTGTAAGGAACTTGACCAAAACTGAACAACTCCCATAGTACTACACCCACTGACCAAACATCTGACTTGGTACTGTAAAGCGAATGAAGGAAAACTTCAGGAGCAGACCAGCGAATGGAAACTTCATCCTGAGGAGAGGCCCTGTAACAGTCGTCGTCGACCAGCCTTGCCCTCTCAAAATCGAATAACTTTATTGAGTATTCGGAACTTATTAAGAAGTTCGATGATTTTAGATTTCGGTGTAGTAAATAATGTAGTTTCTCTAAATAAACCATCGCGGATAATATTTGAAGGCTTATATCGATAAGCATTTCTGGCCAACCAGGCTGAATGATGCCGTTAGATAAAGCATTTTTTAATGTTCCACAGTTGAAATTTTCTAAAATTATGTAATATGGCCTTGTTCTAAAACACACTCCTAATAGTTTCGCAATATTTTGATGATCCAATTTCATCATCGTCCGTGCTTCTTCAAGAAAATCATCTTCATTTTCAATTACCAGATAATGTTGAAGTGCTTTTACCAACACCATCTGGTGACCGTAATTTCCTTTACAAGTAACGCAAAACTTACTTCTAGAAATTATTTCTCCAAATAATCGGATTGATTTTTTCGAAACTTCTAAATGTTGCGGGTAATGGTATCCAGGTGTTATTGGCAACTTAGATTCTTTCAACGGCCTACGTAGCCTTGTTATTAAATTTTCTCTATCCTTTTTGTAGAACGATACAAGTTCGTAAATGCTTAAAAAACTTCTGTCACTATCTTCAAACATAATGTCACCACGTACATTTTCAAAGATCGGATAATGGTACACATCACCCTCGTTGTTCTCACATACACTCAAATAGTAAATAGGATTGTCAACAGATTGGCACATGTGATCGTTATGAGGAGTATAAACGACAAAACAACCTTTCTGACTTTCTTGGTTTAAAAAAATTGTGGCTTCTTTCACGGACAAGGGTTTTGGGTAAAACCATGGCTCATTTCTTGGATCACCGTGTGTTTTTATGAAGTCATAAGGAATATAATAAGCGTAACCTTCTTTGTCGTACGCCAAATAAGTATTCATAAATTGTTTAAAATATTGAAATTGATCAGGATTATTGCTAGCCTCGCCAATTTTAAAAATTTCTGCATTATTTGTTATCGGCAAGGCAAGTTCCGAATCACAAAGTAGCAAGGTTCCGGCAGGTAGAACTTTTTGGTCGCAGGTATTTTTCGCTTTTTCATTAAACGTTTGAACTTCCGAACGAGGATCAAGATAATGTGAAGAGTAAGTGCTCTCTCTCGGATTCATTGAATCAATGTCTTCATAATAAGATGTTTCATTTGATTTTCCCAGGATTTCCAGTTTTTCAGTTCCACTGCATATTAATGAGTTTGGTATGACTGTATCAAGATCGTCAACTAGGTCTGAAACACAGAATGGAGAATCATGCAAACTGTGAGATATCGTGGAATCTACACCTGAGTCTCTGGCAGTGGTCTGATCGGACACTGTAGCGCTGACACCAGATGATGACCTACTGACTGAAACTGTTGTCGTTGTTAACGTTTCTATCGAGCCATCGGAACATTTTTCGTTCGTTTGTTCTACTTTACTGGTATCGATTGGATGTGATACTTTTTCACTCAAAATTTTCGTATCCAAATTCGCGACTAAATCTTCCGCTAGTTGGTTTTCATTCGTTGCCGTGCTGTCTTGATGTGATGAAATTAAATTTTTGTTGTCAACAACGTCAATGTAATCGTTTTCAACTGCGACATTATTCTGGAACGTTTTGTTTGATTCGGGAGGCGAATTACTGTTAGCATCTACGTTAAGTAGTTGACACTGTTCATTAGATGCTGTTGTTTCTACGATGTCATCATCTGGATTTGTAGAATTAATAACGTTACCCCCTTCGTCCACGTTCACAAAAGTTTCTTTTGCGAATTCATTCTTCAGATCATACTTGACAATTTGTTTTGCAGTAGGTATCATTGGCGTAATGGGTTCGTACGCTTCCTCCGCTTCACCCGTATCTTCGAGTTCGACGTTGTAATTTAAATCATTTTCATCATCGTAGTCGTAATCTTCGTTGTCGTCGTCATCAGCAGGGTCATGACTGACCGATTGTTGAGGAGACATCGTTTCACTGGAGCAAACATTTGAACTTCGTGCCGACTTCATAGATTCTCGTGAATTATACGAAGCAGGAAGAGCTGGAGGAGGCTTCGAAAAACTGTCCAGTTTTTTTCTCACTGGAATCGGTGGAGCATCTGAGTTGTTGGAGTTGCTGACGTCACTGCTGACGTTGCCAAGCTTTGTGGAGTTGCATTTGTTTTTCTCTTTGGTCTTAACTATAGGGATTGGCGTTAAGACGTCGGGTTTTGGTGGCAGTGGTGGTGGAAAGCACTTTGAAGAGTCTGTATTTTTAATTCTGCTATTGATACATTTTTTTGAGCCGTATTTGTTTTTTGTTTCGTATTTTCTTTGAAAGCTTGCGTCTCTTTCTGAAGCAACTGGCGAATAGATACTTTGTTCATCGAGTACGTAGATCTTTTCAATGTTTTCTGGCGGTTTTTTAACGTATGACGGCAGTAAAGGAAACTGAATGGTTTTGAAGACGATGTCTTTTGTGACTTCTGCCATGTACGTTTTCTTGGCGTTGTCGTTACTGTGAACAACTTTTCGTCGACTGTCATGTTTAATCCAACATTTATCGTAATGTTTTGGCCTGGAATTCACTACAAAACAATTTAAATGATGATTTTTATCGTCCAAAATGTTGTTAAGCAGTTGAAAATTACAATCGTTTACGTTCTGCAACATGGAGTTGTCATCAATAGAATGGATACTGTTTCTTAACTTGTGTTGTTTTATGATTTGGAGAACAGCCTGACCTGACATTGAAGAGGTTTCACCTAATTCCCGAAAGCCATTATCGTATTCGTCGTTCTTTTCCTCTTCAAGTTCAAACAACTTTATCGTCTTCTCTAACGTTTTGTGAATGCTTTTATTGTGCTCTTTGAGACTATCCATGAAATTTGCGAAAGTTCTTTCATCGCTGACTTCAAGCTGGTCAAGAAACAAGCTTATTCTTTCACAATCGTTATCCAAATCTTTTTGTTGGAAATCGAAATTCGGTGGAAGAGATAAGTTTGGTGTACCTGACGACGGAATTTTGCTGAAGGAGCTGGTTCGTTCTTTCATTTGAATGCTCTTGAACATGTCTGGCTTGAGAGCTTGCTTCAAATTCTCTCGACATTTCAATAAGGCCTTCAAATGGCATGGAAGCAGTTTCGAGTTTTTCAACCGTTGCTGTCTGTCGGACTTGCGCTCCTTACTTTTTATTAGTTTCATACCTGTAGAAAAATTAAATATTGTTTTATAGTTATAATTAATAATTTTATTATTAATATTGCAAATATTTCAAATTATGCTTGGATAAATATTTTTTAACTATGTACTTTCATGTACTTACATATCGAAATACATTGCAAATATAAAGTTGTTGTAAAAATAATTTGCTTATTGCTAAATGTGAATTTTTTTGAATTATTTATTTTTAGAGGAAACAAATTTTTGCTTAAAAGAACATTTTTCACTGTATGCCTATAAAGAAATAATGTCGAACCTATAAGCATATATTTGTTTTTCTTTGTAAGAGACGATAACACATTTGAAAGTTGGAGCATACTTCCAATATTTCTTCAATTACACGCTCGCAATATGATCTTTGGTCTCGAAAATGCGCTTGTTTGCACTACACGCAATGTTCTTACGCTGAATAATTTATACGAATGCTTGCAATCTGTTGTGATTATTTTGTAATTAGATGCAAGTGCATGTTCGGATCATTATTTGCACAAGCGAGAATGACATCTGAAGAACGAACAGATGACAAGCTCATGAATATCTATTTCATCTTTATAAATTTTTTATTTGGGCAAAAAAATCAAGTAGTGTTTCACAATGTATTTAACATCAATCACCAAAGCATTTCAATAAGACGCAAAATATTTCAAACATACTATAAACTAAACATTATGACAATCTGTAACAACTCAACAGCAGCATATAATAAAAATAAACAACTACCTTCCAACAATTATCACCTCTAATACGAATGTAAAAACAGATAGCAGTTCCAAACGTAGCAACAACTTTTCTATATCAAATTATCAACTCCACATTGCTCACACACATACATAGGCTCACACACAGACACACGCACACGCAGAAAGGTAGATTATATTATAAGCAGCATATACATTCGCAGAAATGTAAAACAATAGACAGACAGACGTATGCGGATTAAGCTTTAAAGTTCTTTTAACAAGCTGCGTTGAATAATTTATACAGAAATGCAATAAAACAATTTCCTACCTGTAAAAATTTTTTCCTATTTTTGTTTTTTAACTTTCCTTTAGAATTCGAAACTCCAATTTAAAAATTACGTGCAACAAAATAATTACTTTGAAAGCATTTAAAAAAAGTTAAATTCAAATTAATTGTTAATTATCATCAGAGTCAATAAACTACGTTTTTAATTGCTAAAAAATAAGATAAGAGCAGTCTTGAAACAGCATGTTATACTCACTTCATTAAACACAAACAGCGCAAGCCAAAACTTTTTAAACGAATAAACTTACTACACATTTATACTGCATCTCGATCTACTAAACTAGCATACACACAACAATTGTATGCATGTATGTATTCACATAACTATGTTATTAATGTAGCAATATAACAATGTAACAACAAAAGCTAACGTGACAGACAGAAGAATAATAGTATAAGCACAACAAATTGCTTGTTAATATATATATATATATATATATATGCTTGCCATTTATATATAACAAAGCGATATATATAAGCGATATAGATATTTATGTGTGCGTGCGTGCGTGCCAGCGTAATATTTATAATATGTAATTAGAAGTAGCTATACACCAATATATTTCAATGATTCAATTGTATTGTAAAGAACAATCAGTTTTCAACGCAGTTTATTTCTTGTTTGTCTGCGTGCATAAAAGAAAGTGATTTATGCTTGCATGTATATGCGTGTGCGTGTATGCGTGTTCATCTGTATACATGTATGTATAGTGTATACATGTGTGTGTACGCATGTATGTATAGTGTATACATGTGTGTGTACGCATGTATGTATAGTGTATACATGGGTGTGTATGCATGTATGTATAGTGTATACATGTGTGTCTTTCTGTGTGTATGATATAATGAACGAACACTTAACATTAAAACCACATAAACAAGCAACATTACTCTTCTAATGAGATAACCATATCTCCAGTCAATTGATAGGAGTGGTAATGGAATCTGGATGAGGTCCATTCCAACAGGTAACAATTTGTTTGCTAGATTTAGATCGATTGCTATAATTTTTTTTATATTGAGAATTATTTTTAATAATTATTTTTTATCTTAATTTTAATAAGAAAATAATGTTTCGAATTTAAGATTTTTTTAAAGAAATATAATAAACATTTTTATATCTTCAAATATAAAAACCATGCTTAAATAGCATCAAGGCATATAAGACCACAGATAACATAAATAATGTAAATCGCATTGTGACGTCACATCGCCATAATGGCGTAATACATCATTTCCGGTTTTTAAATTAAAAATACTGTGCGGATGTGTATCAATGTTGTGTAGAGTATAATCTATACAACATTGATGTGTAGGTACATGTACATACCTTTTGAGAACAATTTTCTCGACTGAAG